AATTCATACACTATGGAAATTGTGAAATGACACCTATTTTGGTGGAAATTAAACTCGGAAATTTGATGCCTCAATTTCCTTATTTTTTCCACGAGTCATTTCATAAATTCCGCGCTTAAGTTGCCATACAAAAGAATTGTCAATTTCTCCTCTTAAATTCCCAACTTTTAGCGAAATTCCGAGTTATTTTTCCTCATCCAAACGGAGGGTAAGAGGTTATAAAAGAAGACATTGCCCAAGACATTAGGTGAGTTAATTTACATATAAGAATTTGGTTGTCGGACTAACCAGTAATTTATCTTTCTTCCCATGATGATTAGAAGAGACTAAAGCCCCTGGTAGATGATCCCCGTTTCATAATTGATTTGAATAAATAAAAAGTACCTATGGTATTTAGTGAATAAATTCAATAAGTGTAATAGTACTTTGTTAATAACAATGCTGAAGGGAGAAGTCTAATGCAAAATGTAACCATTGTTGTTGTTGAGCTAAATTTTGACTAGATTCAGAATCGAAACTATTTACTCTATCTTTTTCACTCATATGCATTCTATCTTTTTCTAATGGCGGATTCAGGAATTTTTGTTAGAGGTAGGCTAATATTTTTCTTAACTTTGGGGACTCCAAATAATAATTATAAAAAAAATCATAATATCATAACATTCTTTAAAAATATTTAAAAACCAAAAAATAACTTCTTCTTTTTTTTTTTATAAACAAAAACAAATAATCTTAAACGAACCTTTTCTCCTTCTCTCTCCCCTATCCTAACCTTGAGAAGCAAAGAACCTTACCCTGATGTTTCGAGTGGAACCTCAAGTAGAGAAGCAACTTCTCTTTCAAATAGCATAAGAAAAAAATCCCAAAAATTTAACAACCAAACCCTAAATCTTAAAACCTAACGATAACCATTAAAATTTAACAACCATAACCTAAATGTTATTACTGTGAGAAGCATTTCTGCCTTTGCTTCTCTCGCTTCTCTGAGAGAGAGAGAGAATGATTGCGAGAGTTGAGAGAGAGGGAGGGTCGAGAGAGGGGTAGTTCAAAGAGTTAGTACGAGAAGGAGCGGTGAGAGGAAGAGAGAGATAGAGGCGGAGAAGCGGTGATTCACATAAACAAAGTAAGAGAACAAAGTATAAGAGAAAATAAATTGTATCTATCTATATATATAAAGCAAAAGCTAAAGAATGGTGAAACATTCAAAATATCATAAAATACTCTTGGTTAATTCAAACATTAAGAATTAAAATTATTAATTAAATGAGGATAATATGGTAAATTTATTTTTTTTCATATTAAAAATATATAAATAAAAATAAAATCATATAATAGGTCCTACTTTTATGGAACATAACTACCCATGTTATCTTTTCTTAATTCTAAAAATAAAATAAAAAAGAAAAAAGAAAACCAATTAGCACATGCATGAGTATGTGTCAAGGGGCTAGTACGTAAAGAAAATAAATAAATAAATAAAGGCAAGAGAGACAAAATTTGATTGGTTTATTAGATTAAAAAACAAAAAGTAACCACAAAAGACAACATGTGGCAAAAAGGGGTAGGCTAATAGTTGTGGACAGCTTTATAAAATTTGAACCAAAGTCTAGTAACTTTAAATCTTGCACTAGGTTGGCGCCCACTCCACCCTATACATGGATTCCTCCTTGTCTCTTTATGTTCCCCTTTTCAATATATATGTCAATAAATTTCTTTTTTAAAGAAGAAAACTCATGGCCTATTAAGTATTTTCTAAAGTAAATTCTAAATTGAAGCTCATAGAATATGCATTAATAATTAAATATATTTATACAATTCAGAAAAGAAACCAACCTAATAATATAATCGAATGAAAACTAATATAAAGTACAATTGGAAAAGGTTTAAAATGTCTTTTTGTTTCTTTTATATTTTGGAGCGCATGCTACATCATGCGTGATCAACCACCGTTTACTCTCTAGCGTCTCCGGCTATGCAGGCCCCTACTACGCAAGCAAGTAGGTCAAGAGTTGGCCGACGTGGCATGTCCATGGCCGTCAAACAGGGCCGATAGCAAAATGAGATCCACAGTCTTATGTGGACTTGATTTAAAATAAAATATTATATTTGAATTTGTTGTCTTATGATTCACAATATCATACTCTATTAAGTGGGACTCATTCCACATGATTAGAAGGCCCACACCCTCTTAGTTAGGTAGGACTTGCAATATTTTAAAAAAATTGTATAGAAATCGTAATATTCTTAAAGAATCATATGGGAATCATTCCATATTCCATAAGTAAAAAATAAACAAATAAAGGATGGCATGTCTCATAAAAAAGGTAAGAAAACAATGCAAATGTATGAATTAGGTTTTTATTATTTTTATTTTGTTTATAGCATCGACAGTCTATATTATTTTAAATTAATAATTTATTAGGAGGAATTCAAACGTTAATGTAAAGGCTCGTTTGGTTCGTGGATTGAACTTCCTGGGAATTAACTTCCCATGTTTGAAAATGGAGAATGTTCATTCTCATGTTTGGGAGCGCTGAAAAATGAGGACTAGGAAATGTAATTTGAAACTCGTTCTCAAGTTCCTAAACTTTTAATCAAACGAGCCCTAAGATGACGGACTCACTATTTTGGGGTCAATTGGTCAATTGGAGCTTTTAATATTATATTACATTGAAATAAATTGATTGTAAATTAAATTATATTAGTTTCGAATAAAATGAGCTAGGATTTAAATAAACAAACAAAATGTTGAATCTCACATATTTGTATTGTTATGGCTTGATTTTTTCAAGCTTAATTTATTTTTATTTTTATTTTTTATGAAAAGCTTAATTTATTTTAGTTGTTCTGAGTTTGCACTCTTAGTTGGGATGCCTATATCAGAGTTTCTTCGATCCAACGTAATCGTTAGTGGAAGAGCTCCAAATTATCTTAATTTTGATGTTAGATTACTCCGTTATTGTAATGATCATTTGTGACTAATGACTTTTTTAACTAAATTATAAATGCAATAACATAATTTCTCAACAACATAAAAAGTCAAAGAAAATATTCAAATCATAACATAACCCATCAAGTAAAAAGAAAAAGAAAACAATATAAATGGAGAAAAAAAAAAAAAAAAAAAAAAAAAAAAAAAAAAAAATATAAAGTGTATGATAATTTTGCAAGGCAAAGACAACAATGCGGCAACAACCTCCTGCCACCCCAGTGGCCAGGAGCAGGAGATAAGTCGTTGGCAGATGCAGTCAGCCGCAGACGCAGCCTAGGCAATCCCAACGTGCTCAAATAATGCGCTCCTGTACCTGCTTAAATTACCTAAATACCCTTTAGTACATATATGCGAATTTGACACGCAAGTTGAGAGCAGGCACTAGGCAGGCAAAAGTAAACCGACCACGTGAAACTTTTGCAAGAAAACGACACAACGAAAGGTCGTATTACCTCCTAATTTGACTTATCAGACCAGAGGGGGCCAAGTTGCTCCCATATCATATCGCTCCATGAATTAATTAATTAATAATTATGATTTGATTTGATCTAATCTTTTGTATTATGCGTGTTTATTGTTGAAGCTGGTGCCTTTCATTTTACAGTCTGTCATATAATTACCCGTTACTATAGAAATTTTTTTATTATAAAAAAACATAAATAAAAGACGCTGTGCTTTGAAAAGAGAATGATATATAATTGCACTTTTGTTTAAGGCTTTAAGCATGGGGTCATCTCGTTTGTCGGCACCCTGATTAGTTTATTAGCATTATATTCTTAATTAGTAGTGGAAATACTTTTTACCTCGATGCCTTCGTTTTCAAATCATGTTTGTGACCCTCCACAACTTGGAACGATAGGAAGTTACAAAAGAAAGTTCCTTCTGCATTCCCAATTGCCCACTTTGATATTTATCTAATGACAAATGATAATACCCATTTCTTCTGTTTGTTTGCAGCGTTTTTAATTGTTTTCGCGTATTAACATTGTAAGCATGTACATCATTGTTTATGGCAGTATTACGTGGTGGTTACCATAAAAAAGTTTTAATTTTGGTGGAGTTTTTTTTCGACAACCAATTGGATATTTTCAAAGATACTTCTAAAATGAAGCACTCATAACAAAATTCACCGTCGCAAATAAAGCTAACCATAATTAGGTATTGACTTCATCACAAATATATATCGCCTTCGTATTTATGTGAGTTAAATATGAGATTTGAATCTAAACAAGAAGAAACAATAAACTAAAGGTTGGTTGGTGAGAAAAAAACAGTTCATCCTTATATAAGTATGACTTGGAGAGGATATCTATAACTACCTAGCTAAGCGTGACATGGAATCTAATAAACATGTATTTGCACATATATGGAATAAATGCCAACTCGGAATATATATCATATATGCTTTTGGGTGATGATATCAAAATACAGATACAAATTATGTTGCACGGATATGAATATGGGGATATGAATATGTGACATATGAATACAAATATGCGATACAGGAACACAGGAATACATAAAATATAAAAAAAAACTAGAACACAGACACGACTAGGACACGACAATTTTTTTTAAAAAAAAATTATTATATATATTAAATAAACAAAATGTTCATGTTCATAGGATACAAATTGAAGTGTTGGTGCAACATAGGATACAAATCCTAAGAGAGAAAAATAAACTCACAAAGATGTGCAAAGTGTTAAATACACGAAAAAATCTCAGATATCATATCTATCTGGTCAAATTTTACTTAGGCGAAAATTTAATTGACCCTTAAACACGTATTTTTTCCAATTAAAGTTGTAATCACTACAAGTACAAAAACCAAAACAAATAATACAAGGGTAGTATGGGAAACAAAAATGTTGACGGTAGAAGGCCAACTAGCAGGCTCAAAAACAATATGCTATAAAAGCCAACACCCAAACCACATCAACCCTTGTCCTCAACAGTCTCTAGGTTGCTGCTGCTGCTGCTTTTAGCTTTCTCCAACCTACGAGCCATGGACCAAGGGCTCCCACAAACCCCTCCACCTTCCACCGCCGCCACCACTACCACCCTCCTCGGCAAATACCAATTGGGCCGGATATTGGGGCGCGGAAGCTTCGCCAAGGTCTACAAGGCCCAATCCCTCGTGGACAATACCGCCGTCGCCATCAAAATCATCGACAAAACCCAAATCGACGCCGTCATGGAGCCTCGGATCCTCCGAGAAATCTCCGCCATGCGCCGCCTCCATCACCACCCCAACATCCTCAAAATCCATGAGGTCCTCGCCACCAAGTCCAAAATCTACCTCGTCGTCGAGCTCGCCACCGGCGGCGAGTTATTCGCCAAAATCTCGCGCCACGGTAAATTGCCGGAGTCCCTGTCCCGCCGGTACTTCCAGCAGCTCGTCTCGGCCCTGCACTTCTGCCACCAGAACGGCGTCGCTCACCGCGACGTGAAGCCCCAGAACCTTCTGCTTGACAAGAACGGGAACTTAAAAGTCTCGGATTTCGGGCTCTCGGCCTTGCCCGATCAGCTCAAAGACGGGCTGCTGCAGACGGCCTGCGGAACCCCCGCGTACACGGCGCCCGAGGTGGTTTACCGGCGCGGCTACGACGGCTCCAAAGCCGACGCGTGGTCCTGCGGTGTTATCCTCTTCGTCTTGCTCGCCGGGCGCCTACCGTTCGAAGACAGCAATTTGGCTGCCATGTACAAGAAGGTTCAGAGGCGAGAGTACGAGATTCCGGGTTGGATTTCGAAGCCGGCAGGTCGGATCATATACCAACTGCTCGACCCGAACCCGAACACGAGGTTGGGGATCGAGGCGCTGATGGAGAAGGCGTGGTTTAAAAAATCGATGGAGTTGGGGCTGACGGGCGCTTTCGAACCGGAAGAGGAGAAGTCGAAATGCGACGCCGTACCGTGCGGGATGAATGCATTTGATATAATCTCGATGTCGTCGGGATTGGATCTGTCGGGGCTCTTCGAGGTGGAGAGCCGGATGGAGAGGCGGTTCACGGCTGAGGCGGCGGCGGAGACGGTGGTGGAAAAAGTGGCGGAAGTTGGGGAGAGGTTGGGGTATAAAGTGAAGAAAGGGAAGAGCGGTGTGAATGTAGGGTTGGGGAAGCGAGGGAAGGGGGTGATGACGAAGGTGGTTATGGCTGTTGAGGTGAAGGAGGTTGCGCTGAGTTTGGTGTTGGGGGAAGTGAAAATGGCGGAGGGTGGCGGGGTCGAGCTTGATCAGGAGGCTAGGCTTTGGGAGGAGTTGAGAGCTGGGTTGCAGGACTTTGTCGTTTCGTGGCATGACGTCGTCGTTTGATTTTGTGTGCATTATTTTTATCTAATTAAGGCTACGACATAAGTTTTACTTTTATTTAGGTTTAGTGGTATGTTAGTTGAGTCGGGTTTAGAGTTTAGAATTTGTACATTGGCTCAAAACTTCTGATGTTGCTTTGATTAGTGGTTACTGGTACTAATATATGATTAATCAAAATTTGTTTAATCTTTGTAAGGAGTTCATCTATAGTTGGATGTATATCGCTTACGAAATAGATCCAACAAAAAATAAGTGAATTGGTTAATCCAATGATTAAAAAGTGTTATGTAGCATATGAATTCCTTGAGATTGGATCTGTGAAGCATATTTGAGGTGCTTACTAATGGAGCATAGGATCGTGTAGTTCCGGTAGTAGTTTTACAAATTGCATATGCATATGCGGTGATTAAGAGTAGTTACCCAATAACATCAATCAACCAAGAAATACTCAAATAAATCTTAAAATTATCGTTGAAAAGGTGGAGTGTTCCATGGCGCTCCTTTTTATTTTTTTGCAAACAAATTATTGTATTCGTCACAAAATATGAGGCTTGCCTTGGTGACTCTTGCCTTGCAAGAAAAGAAGAAGAAAAAGTTGTAGATTGTTGTTGAGCAAACCCGCCCTTTTTTGTCTGGAATTACGTTTGTTGCTTGTGCATCCATAAAAATCTTCCCCATACGACATGCAAATGAATCTGAACAAGAAAATATGAAAAGATACACACATACATGTTGATCGTTGCTGTCTTTTTACATACTACTGTATATAAAAAAGGGATCTGAAAACGCAAAAAGAAGTTGAAAAAAAATATCAGACTGTGCAATAAATAATTCAGTAATTTGGCAGCTGGTTCTACTTTCTATCTTCTTTGTTGCAAGTTGCATGAACAGAACAGAGGAAGATAAAAACAAGAGGCCGTTCACGGGCATTATTCTTCCCAGCGTCAGAAGATACTTGATTGATGCTAACAGCTGCTGACTGTACAAAAAGCACCTACACCAACTTGAGCTTTTGAAACACACCATATAAGAGCATTAAGCAAACGTTTGTTTCTGTCATGCTCCATGCTGTTTCTGTTTCAGTTTCTGTTGCTCTATGGACTAGTTTGGTATTGCTGTGCAAGCTGCTTCTATGGCGCTGTGAGAATAATCGTTAGATATTTTCAAATTAAACTTTTATTATTTGGAGTGTCAGCCAAAATGTAAAGGTGGTTTGGGTGTCAAGTTGTCAACTTGTCTACCCCCACCAAAACATGAATATGAATGGGGTGTACAGAGAGACCTGTGATGTGTGAATAACATAGGAGACTCTGATAATTTGGCATCAAGTTTCAACAATTATTGTTGTCTTCTTCTCCATTTTACTGATTTGAACTGTCCTTGTTTTTGGAGGAAAAAAAGAGAGGAAAATGATCAAATCAAATCAGCTTCTGCATTAGCACAGCTGCACTTTTGTACTAAAGCGAGCTGGCAAATAGATAATGAAATGAACTAATGAAGAATGGGTTATAATTTCTATTCCATTTGGTAATCTTTTCATTTTTGGTTTTTAGATTTTATTTTTATTGTTTTGTTGCCTAATGATAGAGGGGAAATACGTGGAGAAAAAGAGAGATGAAAAAAAAGTGGTGGGATGAAAATGAAGTGGTAATCAAATGGACCCTTAATTACATTATCCCGTTATACCGTATGGCATATCCAATTTGGAAAGAACTGGTTTAATTGAAGCAACTTTTAAAATACCGGGCTTGTAAATTTTGCCGATTGTGAATTCAGAAACTAAAAGTACTGAAAAAGAGCAAAGTCCAGAATATGTCTTCCTAAACATATGCTTTTCAAAGGACCCACTAGTGTAGTGGTTTGGAGCAATTAATTTCCCATGCAAGATCTTAGGTTCGAGTCTTAGCATCCGTATAGTGTATGTGAGTTTAGTATATTATCACTCCTCTCAATAGGAAAAGTTTTTTTATAAATAAAAAAAACAGAAATGCTTTTGTAAGGAAATATGTATTCTATAAGCTTGAGAGGTGAAAAAAAAACGTAGAGAAAGTTCTGCATTAAGCATGAGAGGAGACCTTCAGTTAACTTACATAGTACTTGAACCTTGCTTGCATATTACAACCATATATTAAGAGATACAATTTGTCATACAAGGACTACAAAATATTCAATTTGGCTCAAGGACTTGTTCCTGTAAAGTTGGCTATACAATTCCTGTGCTGGGCAATAAGCTCTATACACGTTCATCCATGTCCGGTTCCCGTCAAACGACATACCATCTATGTTGTGTTCCTGTCAAAAAATTCCACCTCCTTTCTCAGTGCCTTTGAGTGGCACGTACTATGTAGGACGCAACTTTACATACAACACCGCGCAAACTTCTACACTGAAGTTCCACAGCCCAGTTTCCTCGTTGAATTTCATAAATCAGCAAGAAATTGGAGCACAGGATCTGATGGTCATTACTCAAAACGCTGGATGCAAAGATAGTATCTACACATAATTACTTCCACTCATTCTCACAACAGAATAGAGGGCTGACATCCATGCTTGCAAACCACTCTGGGAATCCTTCTTCACCGATACTTCCAGCTTCGCAACAGCCTGCTTTGAAATACCAGATTTCACCAAAACAAGTCCAAGTGATTTGAATGTACAATCATCAGGTTGAATGGCAGCTCTCATCATTTCCTTGAAAGTTTCCACAACCTCTTTGAATCTTCCATGCATCGCATACAACCCAAGCACATTATTATAACTCAACAGATCAGTTAAAAGTCGCAGTTCTCTCATCTGCTCTGCAATCTGAAGGGCTTCCTCAAACCTCCCCATTTTTTTATACATGCACAACATCATTGCATATGTAAACTCATTTGCATTTCCCTTTCTCTTCAAGCCATCAAAGATTTCTTCTGCTGGTTTAACCATAGATTGCTCACTATAAAGATCAATCATACAATTTGAAGCATATATGGAAGGACCATCCTCTGATGATTGAATAAGTCTGTATGTTTCTTCTGCTTCTTTCAAAAAACCAACTTTAGTATAGAGCTTGATCAAGGAGTTGTAAATCACCGTGTTCCCAGGCAAACCTGCCTTTTTCATTGCATCAGCATAACTGAGAGCTTCTTTAACACTTCCAACATCAGCAAAAGCATTTATCAACACCCCAAAGACCATAACATCTGGTTGAACATTGAATCCAACCATCTCTTTATATAGTCCCTCTGCCATTTCCAATTGTCCTAATTTTGCAAAGCTTGAGATCACAGCACAATAAGGGATGCAATCACTTACCAATCTTGCCTCCTGCATCTTCCTGAGATAGGGTTTTGCTATATGTGGCATATTAGCACTAGCCAAAATTTGTATGAGAGAACTATAGCTACATTTGTCTGGAACTACACCATGACTCTCCATGCTATTAAACAACTCACATGCTTTATCATAATGTTTCCCCACCCCATAAGCTTTAATCATCACATTAAACTCAAGGACACTCAATTTCTTCACTTCTTGACAGCAAAAAAAAACTTTCTCAGCTTCCAAAATATGCCCACGCTCTCCGTATGCATCAATATTAGCAGAACAGCACTCAGAACTCATCTTCCCTGAAAGATGAAACCTCATAAACCAAAACCATGACTTCTCAAGCATCCCAGCTTCTATGTACATCCTAGTCAGAGCTGACTGAGTGAATTCATCAATCTCAAGGCCCCTTTTATCCATCTCTGATATGAGATCTTCGGCTTCGCTAACCATGTGTCTTAATGAGTATGCATACAAAAGGATGCGGTAACTCACATGGTCTGGCTCAAGGTGAGCCTCCTTCATCTTTGTGAAGTATTTTGTCGCCATGTCTATATTATCATGCTTTGCATGGAGCGAAATTAGAATATTATATGTTCTCGTGTCCGCTGGGCATCGAAGTTCTTCCATCTTCTGCATAAGGGAAGCAACTTCTTCTAGATGGCCATGGTTACCGCAAATGTGCATCATTGTATTGAAAGTCACTGTAGTCGGAGCAATCCCTTCCCTAAGCATCGTCGCAAATATTTCAGACGCTTCTTTAAGTTGGCCAGCCTTTCCATACGTGTCAATCAATGTATTATATGTATGTGAGCTCAAAGAAACATGAGAGTGCAAAGAGCTCCCCAATCCACCAGCAGCTGTTGTAGTAGTGCCCTCTTGTCGAAAAGATAGGCTCAATGACCATTTGTCGAAAAAATCCTCAGCTTTTTGAAATTCTCCCGCTTTCTTATACAAATGAACCACAATTCCCATAGTAACCTCATCAGGTTTCATTCCTTGTTTGTTCATCTTCTCCAGCCAAAGAAGTGCTTCTTCTTTCAACCCACCTTTACTATAAACATCAATCAAAGTTCCATAAGTCGAATTGATAGGCGCTATTCCTTTAACCTTCATCTCATCCCAAAGATTCTCTACAAGGCTCCACTTCCTTGCCTTCCCAAGAATTCTAAGCAGTATATTATAGTGAATCACATTCAATTCATAAAAGTCCTTTCTCTTGAACCACTCAAAAATCTCCCAAGCCCTTTTCCAACTCACTTGCTCCTTCAAAATTATGCTCCTTTCCTTGTTAGTAAGCCTATCTTCCCATGGCTTCAAAGCCTTATCCAAATCCTCAACTTCATCCAATGCCTTCAAAATTGCAGGTAAGCAACCCCCATAAGTGACCCATTTCGTCGAACACTTGGAAGGCACTTTCTTCACCACTCCATTTCCATTCACCGCCCTCAATTCAACATCAAAATCCCTGCTTTTCACATAAGCACCACTACCCTTAGTGATTTTCCTCTTTTCCCCACCTGGGTTGCTCACAAAACTGTGTTTCTTCTGCTCAACCTCATGAACAACAGCACCATTTCCACATCTATCATGGGTGGGTCTATGAACTTCACTTAAACCCTTCTTGACCGTTCCTCCTCCACTGGGGCTCTGAACCACTCTGGGTTTCCTCTCCTTGTTTATTAGCTCAAGTTTGTCTAATGGAGAATGCCTTATGTTGGGTGAAGTTTTTATGGAACCCAAAATGGGGAAGCAACTGGTGTCCAACTGGAGCTTCACAAACATTGTTTTCACAGAAACTGAAACATACTATATTTTTCTTGAGTATTAGGAAAGTGATAATAACATGGTTCGAGTCCTCCAAACGTTGTTGGAGTAATTTGCAGAGACTCGGAGAGTATCAACTTTGGTAGGCTCAAATGGACAGGCAGAGATATCAAATAGGAGAAAGTTGAAGGCAGTCGGACGATTCGGATCATCCATATAAGAAACTCGGGTCGACCCGACCCATGAAAACAAGATGCAGGTTCTATATCCACCCAAAGCATTGTCTTTGCACACCTATTATTATTATTTTTGTGAATGACAACTGTATATTCCTATGTGAAATTATCACACATCGGTTAATAGACCCTACAAAACTTGACAATTTAATAGGGCTAAATGAAGTCCAAGCTATAATTTAGCCCTCTAAAATATTATTTAGTCTAGAACTATTATATTTGAGTAATGCTATATTTACTATATTTTTATTCCACATTTCTATATCACATGATGTGGCATGTCCATATCATATGCCACATCAATTAAATCAATGAAGTTTATTTTAATAAAGAAAGTTTAATTAACATGTTTTTTTAAGTGTTAATAAATTATAAAAGAAAAGAAAATGTTAACTAATTTTAATAGATGTGGTTATCCACCTCATCTGCCACATAAGGTGGACAAGCACATCAATTAAAATAATATATTTCAAGCATATAGCTATGCGGCTATACTATATATATATATATATTTTTTTTTTTTTCTTTTTTTAAGGAATCGCCCAACGATTAAGCGATTTTCGAGTAGCCCAAAGTGACAGTTGGAGCTTGAAGCTTCTCTTTTCCCTAGTAATTTTGAAATTTTGTGGCCTACTTTCATTACTTTATACTTTATAGTTATTAATTTGCTAGTTTCAACATATGCAAAGTAGATATTGAAGGGAGAGAAATTTCACATCAAATCAATAAAAGAGTTCAACTTTTTCTTCTATTTTTTTTGGTGGGAAATAGATTTTATTCTACCTCATTCTCTTGTGTGCTACTAAATTCTATTTAATATATATTAATACGTATAATATGTGAAAATTGTATGTATAATACGTGATTTTTTTCTATATTATTGAAAATTTTGTATTAAAAAAAAGTGTATTAAACATGAAAAATACATACGTATGTGTATAACACGAGTATTAAAAGAGAAAATGCTAAATTCTTTACGTGTAATAACTTTGAAAAAGTAAAGAATTAAAGGGGGACAACATAGACTCAAGTAATGGTAGTAATGAATAATACTCCAAACTACTCTTACGATAAATGAAAATAATAATAATAATTTTTTTATTTATTTTAAAAGGACCCAAGTATAGCCGCGCGGCTATACATGTGACATATAACAATATATTTCAGGAGTATATCCGCGCGACTATACTATATATATATATATAGTTTTTTTTTCCCCAAAAGGACCCGCGCCATATTTTATATATTTATCCATAAGATACCCTGAACTAAGCCATTATTGCATTTTTTATATTAATGTAGGGGTCAATATATGGAAACAATTTTTATTCGATTGTAACTAACGAGACACGTTGAATTTGGAAAGATCTCCATGATATCTGATTGTAATGGATGTAAGAATTAATTTGGAAACCTTCTTGAATTTCAACAATAAATTCAGATTTAATGTACCTAGTCGTTTTATCAAGGTTATATATGGAACGTTGAGCGAACAACGATTTAGCATTCGCTTGTTTACCTGTTTTTTCATTTATTCCCAGGAAATTGTTACCTGGTACCTCATCCGTTACCTTTTTAAAACTACATGCATTCTAGACTGTAAGAAAACCTGATGCATTGCATTCCAGTGTGTTTTCCAACTAGGATTAAACAAGCATGGCTTGGTTCATTCCAAATGCAATGCTGCTGCTAATGCTGTTTTCGTTGTTTCGAATAAACATATGTGACACTGACGAAGGAACGCTGCTCATAAAACGAAGATTTGTTAGAGTCACAAATGATTTGGGTGGAAACTTGACCCTTACAGTTCACTGTAAATCAGCGGATGACAACATTGGTGTCCAAGTGCTTCCTCCTCATGCTTCCTTAGGATTCAATTTTCGACCAAGCTGGATGTTCAGTACACAATTCTACTGCAGTTTTCAGTGGCCAAACACATTTAAATGGTTCGATATATACGATAACCCTAGAGACGCACCGCATTGCAGCAAATGTTGGTGGAGTATAGTACCAAATGGTGCATGTAGGTTTAACTGGTATGACAAAACGTATGATGTTTGCTTTCAGTGGAATAAAGACTGAACTGATTTCATCATCTATTAATTTATTTTGTCTATATGAAATAATAAGAGTTCGATTGTTGTTATTTTGGTGAATGAGTATGATTGTTGTTGGAAAGGTTTAGGCCTAAGCTATGATTGTTGTTCGATTGTTATGGAAACGGTGCAATTTAATCTCATACTAATCAACCAAATAATTCGTAATCGAGATATATAACAGTTTAACTTTCCACATTGATTTCGATAATGTTAGCTTCTAAACCATAAATATTTGCCATCCAGTTTGCAGATTATACATGAATCATGATGAACAAAGGCATGGCTAGCCACCTTCAACAGGTTCCAAGGTGAAGAGTTTGGTTATAAGTGGATCAAACCTACTGAGTGGAACTTCAATAAACAGCAATATTGCATTAAAGATTTGTACAGTAAAAGCAGGGGAGAGAAATGCCGGCTCATTTAGGATAAATATTTCTTGAACCACACACCAATATTCAGAAAGCTCTCAAAGTCGGATTGTGGTCTGCAAACAGGATTTCAAATCAGATTGAAATGAAACCAAGTATAAACTTTTATGAGCTTGATTGTAGTAGTGACTGAGACACTACAATTTTACAATGCAGAAGCACATTTGGAACATGTGTGTACTCTACCTCTCAATTGCATGAGTATCATTAGGAAACACAATGACTTTGACAGGAACTCCTTTTGCTTTCAATGCCCGAGCATACTACAAACAATAAACATCCATGTTAAGATTTCAGAGACACATAACAGCAGCCCACTACTACTGCTGACACCTATACTATTGATAACTTAACCACTTGTAAAGTCCGCGTGTGAGGTTTTATCACAAAAGGCCTCGGTTCTAGATCACTTTTCTACTTACATCATTATAATTAGGTAACTGTGGATGCATCAAAATCTTCCCACCTCTTTGGGGACAAAGGAAATCACTTTAAAAGATGAAAAGGAGTAATTTTCTACTGCAATGCAGCGAAGAAGAATAATTATCCAAGCACTTGATATTGTTTTCAAACCATTAAGATAGGATAAGTGTTCAGTTTGTAGTTCATTATGAGGGGAACATATTAGCTTACTTGCAATCCAGTGAAAAAGGGAAGACGAATATCCTGAGCACCCAAAAGAAAAAGGGTTGGTGTTTTGACCTGCAGAGAGCATCAAAAATAAAAAAAGTTAGAAGTAGCAGACGACTCCTCAGTAAATAATTAATATCGTTCTAAATATTAACTGTTTTTTGGTTTTAGTTCTTTTTGTAGATTTTCCTTCTATTCCAATACACTGCTAGTTTCAAAGTCCAGAACAGGCTCAAAATTACAGTAACAGAAAAAGAAGACCCAATCTAAGCATATACCTTTGAGCTATGTGAAATAGGAGATTTCCTGTGAAAGAGAGTTAGATGCTCAGCTGAAGGTGCTTCTGTGAATGTATTTTTACCCTCACTTCCATAGGCCTCCACATAGCACCAATCTGGGATGTCTGTCGTGCCCACCATCAATGCAAGGTTACAAGCAGGATTTCTTGTTGCTGCCGCAGCAAACTTATCTGGTGCCTGCAGCATTTCAGTTACAAGATTATTAAACTCTTAAATATACCTAAACGTACACGAAATATCACCTTCTAGAGCATCTACCAGACGTGCATAAGTTATAGATGCCAAAAAACAAAAAACAAAAAACTCTATGCAAATGAAATCCCCAAACCACTAATGTTCATGAAGATACTTATAAATGCTTAAAACAGTCGTGCTTTTTGCAAAACTACCACACCTGGCCAATCAAGTGGGTTGTGAGAAAGCCACCATGAGAACCACCAAGAACTGCAATTTTTGATGGACTGGCAAGTCCCATGTCAATGACATGATCTATAGCCACCAGTACATCATTCACGTCCTGTAGAGAAGAAACTAAGAGATCAGGGTCTCAAAACACATTTGGTAAGGCTCTAGCTAAGAGCACATTTGGTAGATTAGGCATCTCTAAGGCAAACACCAGCTAGCATAACAGAATAGTAAGATTACTATGAAACGATTAAAGGTAAATATGCATAAGCACCTGGGACCCAATGTTCCCTGGAAGAGACTGAAGTGCTTCTTCACCAAACCCCAGTGAACCTCTGAGATAAAATTAGCATGTCAGAGCAATGCAGGCCAAGAAGGTGGTGATAAGAAAAAAGGAAAAAAAAGTATGCTTATTAGTTGTCTTTTCTTTCACTGGGGTATTATAACCCTCCCATTGTTTCATCAAACAAAGCATGTCTTTTTTTTTTTTTTTTTTTTTTTTTTTTTTTTTTTTTTTCCTTCAGAAGCAACACCCTGTCAATAATGAAGGGAACTATCTTAAATGATGTGTTTGTTTTTTCTCCCCATCCATATGAGTATGACAATGTCATAATATATGATCAACAAAATTGGAGCACAATTTGGTTGAACATCAAGTGCTTTAGCTGGAAATTTGGAGCCCTGACCCTGATAAGAAAATTGGAATGCAGGGAGAAAGGAGAGCCATAACTTACCTATAGTTTACAATTAACAAGTTGAAACCAATTGAAGAGAGAAATGCTAAGGACTTTGAAAAGCTGGACAATGAAACAATATGCGGTCCTCCATGAAGGAATACAATTAATGGGTCACATGGATCACTTCTTTTAGTTTTGGAAGATACAAATATAGCTTCAAAAGGTTTGGTGGCACCTGAAAGGTTTTCAGCATATAGAGGACTTCAAAATCAATTACTTTTTAAGACAAAAGAAAGAAAATGGCTAAGAAAAGGAAAAAAAAGAGCTTATAATACCTTTTGTCAGGCTATAAGAAACATCCCTGATGGGAATCTTCAATATACTGAATTGAAGAGATGAGAGCAAAGATTCAACCTGTAGCAAGGAGAATTTTGAGAAAAAAATGCAAGCCTTGAAGATATTCATGATACGTAGTAATAATATAACAATACTAAGATAAGCAAATTGACAGACCTTCTCAGAGCATGCATTTGTGGGCCTTGATACATTTAACCAACTCCATGCAGTATCTTTACTATCTTTATCAACAAGATAACCATACTTGATATGAGGTACATCTACTGGACTGCTAGACACTTCAGAAATCAAACAAGAAGTGAAACTTCGTTCCACTTCAGTAAACATATTCATCCAGTTATCAGTTAAACAAGGCAGTTTATGTTACCAGCAATGATATTGTCCCCGTCCAGTGTAAGAACATTCCATGAAAAATTTGAATCAGTAGGACTGATACGTAATACTTCCCCACTGTAATTTCATATAAATTTCATGAGTTAATTATGAGGACAAGGTAACAAAAGGTGTGCAGATACAAGAGAGAGCCAGATGACTGATCGCTATGGTTACCTCAACACATTCACAGAAAGTATGACTTGACAACTGCCCCAGACGGAAGATAAGATCATCGTGCATCCATCAGAAAGCCATGGATTACTAAGGAAACTTGAACAGTAAAGCCCAGGGAAGTAACCATCCTCGCCACACATTACAACAGGAATCTAAAAAATAAGTGTATTAAGTATGGTTATATAGAGAGGGAGCAAAACTCATACAAGGTTCTAAATCTTCTATTATTAGGTTGTGTGATTCATAAAAATTTGATCATACTCAAACCAAAAAGATAAAATTTGAAGAGCTCACCACATCAACAATTTTTGTAGATGAGGATAGTACTCCATCCATCGGCCAATCTATTATGTGTAGAGAATCTGTTGCAGAGTGTACACCAGAATCCACAGCACTCCTTGCAGATAAAAACAAAAGGAATTTTCCATCTGGACTGGAAAATTTACATTCATCATGTTTCGAATACAATCAGCAATCTGTTAGGTAATGTTTGAAGTAACTAGAAAAATTTCCATTTGCTGTTCTATCTAGACTAGCATTTCCAAAGGAATTCTTCTTGACATGAAGAAAGTGACAAGTCTCTAAAATCTAAAAAGAGAGCTCCACATAAGATATATCACAGACTCAATTTAAGTAATGCATGAGGTTGTAGACCCCTGTGAAGTTTACATGTCTGATGGGGAAAAAAAACATTACCTGAACTGTGGATAGAGAGCACTAGTTATGCTTTGAGTTAGATTTACTACAGGAGAATCTTCAGTTGAACTATCTCTGAAACAGTTAAAGAAATTGCTAGTTATATGATGTGTCCAAGCACAATGAACCTCACAAAACCATTTACAAGAATATGGGTCCAAAAAAGAGACATAAGCATTGCACAAAGCAACTCACTTGAGTTCAGGTCCATCAGCTTTGGATTCAAAATTTGGTGCCCTAACCGCATACAATGCACAGGGCCTGTTAAAGCAGTACTTGATACCAAGCTTTCTGGTACCTTCTGACCACCCAACAAAAACCAAATATTGATGTGAACCTCTAACCGGTGGCGCCCACACAACTTGACCAACACTCAAAGACTTTTCAATTCCTTTAACAGCTTGTGTCTCTCCACTGTAATGCATAGAGAAATTAAAAATAAGTTGGCCATCTAAAGAAGAATTCCCCTTACTTCTAATCTTGGTACTGATAAAAAGAAAACCAAGTGTCCTAGACCTGTTAATGTTCATGACAAAAAGTGCAGCCTGCTGTTTCCCAGAATAGGTTTCCCCCCACTCTTCCTTCCAATCCCCTTGACCTGTCCAGTTACCGAAGTCCTTATCTGCGGAAGTACTATTCTTGTAGCCCTGTCCTGTAAATGTGGGCTTGGAAGGACATGGTTCCTCAGCAACATAAGCAATGAGAGTTTCATCAGAGTTCCAAGAAATTCCCTGAAACCTGTATTCATTGAAAGTTTGGACTCTCCTACAAAGTATCTTGTGCACAGGATAACATCAAATATCATATACAGCAATCATTGGGAAAACTGCGTTCACATGATTAATTTACCATCCATCAGCATATACTGAGCCATGAACAGATTGGGGGATGTGGAATTCTTTTTCCACTTGAGCTCGACCCCAAATTTCAAATTGACAGGGAGATTCTTTTTCAGGATCCCGAACTACAAGAAGCTTTGCACCAGATGGTGATGGAACCATCACAGAGACTCCTGTCATCTCCACAGGAAATGGGGCCCATTGGAAATTTACAGAATTGTTACTTTCTCTTAAAACATGAGAGGACAGAATGAACTTCTTCCTTTTGTTTGCCAAAAGATTTGGTTGACTAATTGAAAACATTGCCTGGGAGCCAATTCCTATAACAAATTTTGTGTGCAAATATCTTCATCAGAAATGGGTCTTTGGCTTTCAACGGCTTGTATGTGAAGTAAGGACATGCATGTTAGAAATATGAGAAATCGTACCGCTGTCAGATTTAAATATCCATGCCTTATCAATGCTGGAAATACCAGTAAATTCTTGAAGTAGTCTAGACTGGGAAGCATATTCTTCCTCAGTTGTTGCATCTATCCCCAGAGGCATCTCCTTAAACGAACCAGCTTTTGAACCCTCCATGGCTAAAACTGTTGACAATCTTTTACTACAGAGTAGATCGTAAGGAAGATCAAGAAGAAAACAACCAACAGAAAGTATGGGATAATGTTTTTCATTCGGGGAGATAAATATATGATTTCAAAGGGGTAATGAAAGTATATAGCTGAAATGTGCAGTAGCAATTGTAACCGAAAGAATTCTGTAAGTAACTTGAAATATAGATACCATCGCCAACGAGGGAGGGTTGGTTAAGTTGGTAAAAATCGTTATCTTCACTATTAAGGCATAGGTTCGAGTTCTGCTGGTAATATGTGAAAACCAAAAAAGGACTAATACCAAAGAGGCCTTGGTATGCCCTGATCCCAGAAAAACTAGATTCAGCGACTAAAAGTCAACAGAATGTAAGGAAGAAGAACACACAGGAACTAAAAAGGAGGGAGAGAGAAAGAGAGAGCTCACGTAGAGAGAAAAGAGCAAGAGGGTCTCCATGTAAATTACAGCTTAATCATGCACTGCCCATTATTAGACATTTCTGTGTCTGGTTAAGGTAGAGTTGGGCTCATGTTCAAGCCAGCTAACTGGCTCAGCAACCGTCTTCTTCCCTGGTGACCACTGTCTTTTTCTGTTGTTTTCAATATATTCATGTTGGCATTTCATTTCGCCAAAAAATAAAAATATGCAAGTTGGCAACTTGACTCTAGTTTTGTATTGTATATACCGAAAGTGAGATGTGAACAAAGCAGGCATCTGCCCAGTTAAATATGATCAAAATGGGCAAATCGCTCGCTATTTAACTGACGAGTAAAATATGATTGTACACCTCATCAGCCACATAAGGTGTTATGAGAATGTGGTAAGAATAGTATTATTCTTAACTAAATATTGACTCTCACATTCTTTCATAATTAGTAAAGAGTAGTATTATTCTTAAAATAATATATTTAAGGAGTATACCGTATGGCTATATGCTTTAATAATAACATATTTCAGGAGTATAGTCGCACGGCTATACTATTTATTATTATTATTATTATTATTATTATTATTTTAAGACCCACCTAGAGATTATGCGATTTCCAAGTAGGCCAGAGAGACACCTGGAGCTCAAAGCTTCTCTTTTCCGTAGCAATTTTGAAATTTTGTGGCCTACTTCCATCAGTTTATACTTAATAGTTACTAATTTACTAACTTCATGTTTCAACAGTTGGTCAAATGATCTGTGTATACTAACTAGGATGTTATATTTCCTACTAAAGGTTCTTAAAGGGAGATTCAGGCATGGATCAACACTTCTACTCAACACCATTTGAGGAAAATATACCTGTAAGTGCCCAATGTTGTTATCGTCATAATTATTGCTAGAGCGATTGTCTTGCATTTCGTACTGAAAATGGTAAGATAGTACCTCTAACACTGGTTACAGAAATATCTGTGCACAACGAACCTCATCAGAGTTTCACTTCATTCATATAATCTTTTTGTAGAAGCTAATATGTCAGAACAATGCAAGCCAAAAGCTGATGATAGAAGCTAATATATAAAACAGGTTTTTCTTCTTCTTTATTTTCAAGTAGGGGATGCTAGAATCCCAAACTATGCAAACAAATATAATGGTGTCATCACGTGCAGTAAGAACACAATCTGTACATAACAACTTTAAACAGATATGCTGGGAGGTAAATATTGCAACGATGTTGTGTTCTGCTGGGCAGGAAAAATTTCTTGAAGCAGGCCAAAGGAACATTTACACTTCAGGAGTACTTTTATCTTTTCCATTGACAATTTTGACTTTATACCTATCCCAACCCCAGCAACAAATGCCTTGGGGCAGAAAAATGACTCAATTTTGACAATTTCCACAAACACCTGTACTCTTTCCACAAATACCTGTACTCTTGATTCTCCAACTTTATAATCTTCCTCACAAGTCTTGTGCAATCACTATAACTGTCAGGAATAAATGGCACCCACCCATATTCAGGATTTGATAAATTTATTCTATCAAGGAACATAAATTCATGTACATGGTTGGGCAGCCAAAACTGTTTGCTGCAAGAACCCTCGAAAAAGCTTGATTGAATGACTTTAATTTGACAGATTCCAGGTGCAAAGATCAAGCACATTTGGATCCCTATGTGATAAGTCCATGTTATATAAGCGTTGGGTTACACATCTCCAAGTATGAGGATTTCAAAAGAGCAACATTCAAGTCGCCATTCTCTTACTTGAGGTGATAAGTTAGACTTTCAGCTACCAGAATGCCTTCATGCATTGTTGAAACGCATGAAATTGCATCTGTAGGAGCGACGTCAAAGGCAGGGCCAACAGCTTGGTTCCTTAAGCACCAATAAGCTAGGAGTCACAACTAAAATTTGTTAATCAAACTCCAACTCCATAATGTAGACGTCAGGGAACATTGTCTGTCATCTGCATAAACTCCATGCATTGCATCAAGAGAGTTAGCAAGAAGCTCAGCCTTTTAAACTAATCCAACTGCAACCGCTTATCTTTTTAATTCCCTGCTCTTCCATTTTGTCCCTCACAGCAGAAACATCAAACCAGCAGTCCGCTGCCGCATAGATGTTGGACAATAGCACATAATTACCAGGATTTAGGGGTTCAATCTCAAAAAGTCGATTAGCAACCAATTCTCCTAACTCTATATTGCCATTTAGCTTACAGGCTCCAAGTAGGGCACCCCAAGCACCAGCATGAGGCTCCATAGGCATTGATTTTAGAAGGTCATAAGCTGCATTTAACCGTCCCAACCGGCTAAGAAGATCAACCATACATGCATAATGATCAGGAGAGGGTGTCAAATGGTACTTACATCTCATTGATTCAAAGAAATGCCAACCCTCCTCAACGAGCCCTGCCCGGCTACAGGCTGTCAGGATGACTGTAAAAGCAACCTCATCCGGAGCCAAACCCTCATTTAACATCTTATTGAAGAGGGCAACAGCTTGATCCCCTCGACCATGAACCGACAACCCTTGTATCATAGAACAATATGAAATCATGTCCTGTTTAGGCATCGCTTCGAACAAACTTGTTGCTCTTTCCATATTACCACACTTTGCATTCATGTCAATTAGAGCCGCAAGAACATGATCCTGACGAACATCAATTGAGCTCTGGCTCAGGTAAGAATCAACCCATTTGGCCACTTGCAAGCAACCCACTTGGGAACAAGCTGACATCAAGCTCACCATTATAAACTCATCAGGCTTAACATTCCTCGCACTCATTTCAAGAAATATCTTCAAAGCCTCGTTGGGTTGACCATTTTGTGCATACCCAGATATCAATGCCGACCACGCAACAATATCTTTGTTAGGGGCTTGGTCAAACAAAAACCTTGCAGACGCCATATCTCCGTACTTGGCATATCCATCAATCATCGTAGTAAAAGAAACCACATTCTTCTCAGGCATCTGATCAAAGATCCTCCTAGCATTTGTCAAATCACCCAATTTCACAAACCCACTGATTATCACATTCCACGACACCACATTTCTCTGCGGCATCTGATCAAACAGCCTGCGGGCCTCATCCAAGTCCCCAACACTGGCATACCCAACAACCATAGCTGTCCAAGAAACTACATTTCTCTCAGACATTCCATCAAACACCTTGCGAGCGCACAAAATCTCCCTACATTTTCCATACAAGTCAATCAAACTGGTGCTCACAAACACATCCCCATCAACCCCACACCTCACAGCCGACCCATGTATTGCCCTGCCTTCCCAGACCTTCGCCTCACTCGCGCAGGCCTTGACGAGAGACGGGTACGTATACCTATCTGGAACACCCTCCTCTCTCTTCATCCGAACAAAGAGGCCAACAGTATCGGCAAAACTCGACCTTTCGCAGTACCCTTTGATCAAAGTGTTCCAGAGAAAGGTACTGGGACTGTGAACGCTGTCGAAGATGGCGGTGGAGTAAGAGAGGGAAGAGAGAGTGTTGCAGAGGCAAATGAACTGGGTTATGAGGAAGCAGTCTTGCTCTAAACCCTTGTGTATAATCTGCGCATGAACTTGTTGTAGATGGTATTGGGTTTTACAGGCTTTGAGCAAAGTCGCGATTGAGGCTAAAAACGAACTGGCCAAGCTATTGGGTGAAGCTAACGATGAGAAGGAGCGGATGGTAGGCATGGGATTGAAAAAAGGTTCGTGCTTTGCTTTGCATGGCTTCGAAATCTATTCTTCTTCGTTTGGATTTTCGTCGCACAGACACAGCCTTCTCTGCTCTCTGTTAAGATCCTTGTGACGACATGTCGTTTTTCTCTCCGTATTTCTCACAAGCAAGCAAAAAAATTCTTGAAAAATCAGAGAATGAAATTGCCAGCAGCTGCATGCTTCGTGGCTATGGTGGCAGCCTCGTGTGACGGCGTTCGTTTGCTTTTGGCGGTGATGAGAGGTTGGCACAGATTCAACAGTTGGGGACGGAGAGAATGACGACCTCCGGCTATACTATTTTTATTGTATAAATCAAAAAATAAAAAAATTAAGTACAGCCGAGCGGCTATACTATTTATATATTAAAAAATGACCTTCCTCGCGATTCGGCGCCCACGTGTCAAAATACGTATAGCCGTGCGGCTATACTATTTTTTAAAAAATGGGAAAAACCTGGTATCGCCCGTCGGCTATACTAATTATGTGAAAAAAAGGAATGCCCGCTAGTCAAAATAAGTATAGCCGCCGGCTATACTATTTTTAAAATAATCAAAAAGGGCTATAGCCGCCCGGCTATACTATTTATGTATCGGATTACTGTTAGGCACCCACGTGTCAATATTAGTATATCCGCGCGGCTATACTATTTAAAAAACCAAAAATTAAGTACAGTCGCACAGACACAGCCTTCTCTCTGTTCTATGTAAGATCCTTGTGAAGACACGTCGTTTTTCTCTCCTTTCCGTATTTTCTCACAAGCAAGCAAATAAATTCTTGAAAAATCAGAGAATGAAATTACCAGCAGCGGCTTGCTTTGTGGCTATATTGGCAGCCTCGTGTGACGGCGTTCGAATGTTTGCTTTTGGCGGTGATGAGAGGTTGGCACAGATTCAACAGTTGGGCACGGAGAGGATGATTAGCTATACCGACTTTGTTTTGTAATTTTCAATTAAATTCTTTTCATGAAATGCACAATTCTATATAGTATATAAACAAGCCAACGATAAATATGAGTCAAACAAACAATTACACAATTCTATAGTGATTTCAATAACTGTAACTTTTAATATCTCATCCAGACTGAAGATTATACATGATGGACAAATGCTTGGACAGTTCAAAAAGCTCAAAGTCAAGAGTTTGGTTACAAGTGGATCCAACCTACTGTGTGTAACTATTTTATTTTATTTTATTTTTGTGAAAGTGTAATTTTAATGAACAGCATCGCATTATAGATTTCTACTGCCCACAAAAACAGCAATATTAAGTAAGCTCTTGAAGTCGAATTGTGGCGGTAAAAGCAGGGAAGAAATGCCGGCTCATTTACGATAAATACTTCTTGAACCACACACCAATATTCAGAAAGCTCTCAAAGTCCGATTGCGGCCTGCAGACAGGAGTTGGAATCAGATGGAATCGAAACCCAAGTATCAAATTTTATGAGCTTGATTGTGCTAGTGACTGAGAGACTACTACAACGCAGAAGCAAGTTTGCCTCATGTGTTTACTTTACCTCTCAATGGCATGAGTATCATTAGGAAACACAATGACTTTGACAGGAACTCCTTTCTCTTTCATTGCCCGAGCATACTACAAACAATAAACATCTAGATCACTTTTCTAATTACATATCATTACAATTATGTAACTGTGTATGCATCAAATTCTTCCCACCCACTTGGGGGACAAAGGAAATCACTTTAAAAGAAAAAAATGAGTTTAAAAATAAATTTATAGATTCCAATTGTTTGCGTATTTTATGTTTCATTCACTTTCTACTGCAATGCAGCCAAGAAGAATTATTATCCAAGCACTTGTTATTGTTGTAAAACCATTTAAATAGAATAAAGTGTTCAATGTGTAGTTCATTAGGAAGGGAACATATTAGCTTACTTGCAACCCAGTAGAAACTGGAACACGAAGATCCTGCGCACCCAAAAGAAAAAGGGTGGGTGTTTTGACCTGCAGAGAGCATCAAAAATCGAAAAGTTAGAAATAGCAAACTCCTTACTAGATAATATCGTTATAAATATTAGCTGTTTTTGGAAAAGGAAAATTAATTTCATGTTTCACGTTTCTTAACAGAATGTTAATTTTATATATATATAGTACCGAAAACTTCAACCCGGGGGAGAAACATAAAAATCTCAGTACTGGTCCCAGTAAAGTGGTCATAGGAGGGAATATCTAGATACAATCTTAACCCTTGGAATGGATTCGCTTGAATTAGCCTCTCAAGAGTCAAGAATTGAACTTGCACAGATGTATTTGACATCATGACATGTACCAACTCTTTCCCATTTCTTCACTCTTTTCTGTTTCTGCTTTTTACTTCAATTAATATTTTTCTTCACATCTTGCAGTGACAATACACATCTTGCCTGTGCAAATGGCAAATATCATGCTACTCTGCTTTTCCAAAGTCAATGCATGGTTGCGAATTGCAGCTATGATATCCCTGGAGTTGCTTAAAATGTGAAAGTGCATGCAGTTAATCAATGTTGGGAGAGCTGTTGTCTTGAGATTGTTTGGTTTTAAAAGTTTCTGTAGATTTTCCGTCTATTCCAATATACTTCTAGTAAAAGCTTCAAAATCCAGAGTACGATCATAATATCGTAATATGAAAGAAGCCTAAACAAAGCATATACCTTCGAGACATGTGCAATAGGAGATTTGCTCTGGAAGAGAGTCAGATGCTCAGCTGAAGGTGCATCTGTGAAGCTATTTTTACCCTCACTTCCATAGGCCTCGACATAGACCCAATCAGGGATGTCTGTTGTACCCACCATTAATGCGAGGTTACAAACAGGATTCCTAGCTGCTGCCGCAACAAATTTATCTGGTGCCTGCAGCATTTCAGTTACAATATTATTGAATTCTTAAGTACACCTAAAACTACATGTACTATCCACCGTTTAGAGCATTCATCTACCAACCTCATAAGTTAGATGCTTTAAAAATAAAAATGAAAACTTTACGCATGAAAGCCCCAAACCACCAGTCTATGAACACAAATAAGCAGCTGTCCAAAAGTTGAACCACCAACTAGTGGTATCCAGGACTTGGAATGCATAATAATAACAAGATAGAATACACATGAAGATAGTCTGCGTGTCTATGCATTGTACATTAAATGCACATAGTCATGCTTTTTGATAAACTACCACACCTGGCCAATCAAGTGGGTTGTGAGAAAGCCACCATGAGAACCACCAAGAACTGCAAGTTTTGATGGACTGGCAAGGCCCAAGTCAATTACATGATCTATAGCCACCAGTACATCATTCACGTCCTGTAGAGAAGCAACTAAGAGATTAGGGTCCAGCAATACCATGTACATAAAGTAAATAATAGTTCTATAGGTGCATTAATAAAGTAAATGCTTAAATTACATAAGTATATACATATGTGTTTTGTGTATGATACTACATTAGTATAAAATGGCAGCGCATAGGGCACAAAGCCACATAAGCACACAGGTGGTATAGAGTATGTACCCCCAAGGCATAATACCAGCTCGTATAACAAAAGTAAGATTGCTAAAAAAACAAATTAGAAGTAAATATGTATAAGTAAGCACCTGGGACCCAACTTTCCCTAGAAGAGACTGAAGTGCTTCTTCACCAAAGCCCAGTGAACCTCTGAGATAAACTAATATGTCAGAACAATGCAAGCCAAAAGCTGATGATAGAAGCTAAATATAAAACAGGCTTTTTTTTTCAAGTAGGGGATGCTAGAATCCCAAAGGATGAAAAACAAATACAAAGGTGTTGTCACGTGCAGTAAGAATACAATCGGTACATCAGGTGAACAACTTTAAACAGATATGCTGCGAGGTAAATATTGCAACAATGTTGTGTTATATCCTAAGAAAAATCAGAATTAACAGGAAAAGGGAGAATCATAACTTACCTATAATTTACAATGAACAAATTGAACCCAATTGAAGAGAGAAATGCTAAAGACTTTGAAAAGCTTGATAATGAAACAGAATGTGGGCCTCCATGAAGAATTACAATTAATGGATCAAATGGATCATTTCTTTTAGTTTTGGAAGACACAAATATAGCTTCAATTGGTTTGGCAGCACCTGAAAGGTTTTAAGCATATACAGGACGTCAAAATCAACTATCTTTTGAGACACAAGAAAGTGATTTTGTTTATAATACCTTTTGTTACGCTATCAGAAACATCCCTGAGGGGAATCTTCATTATACTGAATTGAAGAGATGAGAGCAAAGATTTAACCTGTAGCAAGGAGAAACTTGAGTAAACAGATGTAAAGTTTGAAGATAATCTTGATATGTAGAAATATTTGGCTTTGGAAAAGCGAATTGACAGACCTTCTCAGAACATTCATTTGTGGGGCTTGGTACATTTAGCCAACTCCATGCAGTACTTTTACTTTCTTTATCAACAAGATAACCATACTTGATATGAGGTACATCTACTGGACTGCTAGACACTTCAGAAATCAAACAAGAAGTGAAAATTTTTATATTTCAGTATAATTGTCTGAGTAGTTATCAGTAAAAAATGGTAGTTTATGTTACCAGCAATGATATTGTCCCCATCCAGTGTCAGAACACTCCATGAAGAATTTGAATCAGTAGGGCTGATACGTATTACTTCTCCACTGTAATTTCATAATTCTCATTAGTAAATTATAAAAACAAGGTAACAAAGGTATTCAAATACAAGAGAGAACATGATAGATCATTACAGTTACCTCAACACATTCACAGAAAGTATTACTTGACAGCTGCCCCATATGGAAGTTATGATCATCGTGCATCCATCCGAAAGCCATGGATTACTAAGGAAACTTGACCAGTAAAGCCCAGGGAAGGAACCATCCTCAGCACACATTACAACGGGAACCTTCAAACAAGAAGTGTATTAAGTGTAGCTATACAGGGAGGGAGAGAGTGATAAAGAGAGAAACTCTCATACAAAATGTTCTAAATCTTCTATTA